TTTTGCTGTGGCCGGGAAACCCAAAATATGTGTCGGATCTAAAAGTAAAATAGCAGGTGCACAATGGCAATATGTAATAAAGATTCAGTGAAAATTTCATCAAATTTCATTCAGTGGTATGAGAGGAGTTGCGGATAAAAGATAGGTACCCCAAAACGTAACAGACAGACGGACGGACAGACGGAAGGACGGACGGACGGACAGACGTACAGACGGACGGAATTAACGATTACTATATACCCTCCCGCTTTTAAAGCGGGGGGTATAATAACAATTCAATTTTCATATTTCTTACGCACTTAGTTTTGTAGTTATCGGATACGGCATGATAATATGGTTAGTATTTATACCTGGCGTGGCGAAAATTACTTACCTAACATGTCGTACCAAATCACTACAACGCTACTTAACGATTATATCATTATGTCATCAATAGGGGTGGATTCGTTAGAAATTTAATATATAGTTGTCTAAATTTTGTAAATTTGTTTTATTACACTATATAATGTGTCTACATTGATTATATTTATATCACAATGTGATTCCTGTCCTCAATACAAAAGGACAATTTGAAACAAAAAAGCTTTAAAGAAGAAAAAGCTCTTAAGTGCCTGCTAGTTACAGAAGCTTATTACAATATGTAATATTTCCAATTTTAACAGACATCTGGCGGGTCACGTGTCTATTCATTAAAAAAGATTTAAAAAGCCACTTTTTTCTGGGTATTAAAGAAGAACATTCCGTAACAACCTTGAATAGAATTCAATTGACAGTGTATAGATATTACACCCCCTTCACATGACAGGCTTCAAACAAGAATAGCTTGATTTCATCACAGAATGACCAGAGGTGGGGTGAAATAATTCTCTTGACATTTTCGTTTCTGTTGCGGAATATCTAGCTTAACTTTTTTTAAACAAATACCTAATTTTTGAATTTCTTTTTATTAGATTTATCGGATCCAAAGGTATATATTAATGGCAATCTTAAAAATTCACTTACCGTTGATGAAGGATATCCTCTACTTTTGGCATGTAACATGGAGGGAAATCCAGTTCCAGTTACTATCCTAAAAGAACTTACTGGTAACGAGATCTTGGAACAACGTAGTAGCTGGATAAACCACACACTGAGAAGGGAAGCAGTGTGCTCTGACACAAACACATACATCTGCGAGGGAAGCTCTTCAGAGTTTGAAAGAAAATATCAATCATTCAATATCAATGTTCTTTGTAAGTAAACTTTACGGTTTTATACACATTCAAATTTAACATTTCAAAATATTTATTACAAATCTTAAGCCAAGGAAATAATACATGTATATTATTTTTATCATTTATTTCAAGCTCTCTAATTGGCTAAAACTTCATCATATGATTACGTATATAACAGCATATAGACTTGAGTTACTATTTATAGATTCTGAAATGCATAACGATTTGATATTCCATAAAATGGAGACAATTTTGTGTAAAACAAAAAAAATTTTTAGATAATAAATTGAATGACGTGATGTTTTTTTTTAAAAAAATATACTTCATCTTGTATTAATAATTTTTAATGTTCTGTAATTGATGAAACGTAACAGTGCCTCGAATTAGGATCTACTTTATAAAACATTTTGGATATGTTTGTCAAAAAATTAAATCAAAGTATAATCAATAAATGTAGCATTTTGAATAAGTAAATTATCAAAATTACTCCATCGATATAAACATGGTAAAGGAGACACAATTAGTATTTTGATTTCTAGGCTCCTAAGTGTTAAGGAGAGAAAACTTGTTCCTTCTTCCCATTATTTTCAAATTTTGTTTTGTCAATCTGTGCAAAAATTAATAAAACAAATGTAGCCCTTTAATTCGATCAATCCGTAGATATATCGACTTCACAGAAAAGCATATCGATCTTGCACTTCGTGCTCGTTCTATATGCTTTTCTGTGAAGTCGATATATCTATTGATCGACCTCATCAAGGGGGTAAATTTATATAATATAGATACAACTCATGCCACATGAATAAATATAAGATATTATTGCTTGTGTTATATAACTGTTTCAATAATCATATATGTTTCAATAAATTACACTTTTTTATGTGTCAGAACATTAAACGCAGCGAAATAAATATAATTGTCTTTGTTTGGTATCAATTTGAACTCTGAAGTTAAGGAACATCAATTTCATTCCACTTTTGCTTTTTTAATAAAATCATTAATGATTAAAAAAAAATAAAATATCCTTTTAAATATAGTAATTTGAAATTGGTATGGAGAATTTATGTTTGCTAAACTTCACCTACTCTAACAAATTATTTTGTGTCGATATGTTTTTTTTTGGGAGGATGGATGTTTATTCTATTACACCAAAAAGTTGTATCATCAAAATAAGTCTTAAAGTTGTGTTTACCTTAAGTCGACAATTGCAAGAATTTAATCTTTATATTTAATATAAAATGTGCATTTATGATAAAACCATGTTTAAAACGCCTGTTTATCAAAGAAGAGGGACATAGACGTTGACAATATGTAAATATTCATTTGTTATAGGTTATTTTTTCTATAACTTTTTTCTGTATATTTTCGATAAAATTTGAAACAGGCTTTAATCTCACAAATGTTTACTTTAATTTGCTTAATATACACTGTACTCACGTGGTATTTTAGGCGACCTTCGCCTTGATATGTCAGCTGTAGTAAAAACCAATTATGGTTCCATGAGTGGCTCAGATGTGAATGTTCCTGTTACTGTGCCAGTGATAGCAAACCCCCCGATTACTCCGTCAGGGATCACGTGGTCAGGTCCTTCAGCAGAATCTATATTGACGAATGTAGATTTACAAAGGGATACTTTTATATACAAACAAATGATTGTAAGCAGCATTCCCATTCCTGACCAGAGAGCCTTCGGAAACTACTCACTGATGTACAAAGGAAAGACGATCATCGATATAACAATAAATGCCGAAGGTTGTACTTCTGAAGTTTTTTCTAGTAATTAAGTTTTTTCAACAAAAAGTCTGTTTTTAGGCTAGACTCACATTAACGTCAAAATTAATATAAACTTCATTTTTAACGTACTTTTCAGATTAGTTACATTATTCATAAAATGAAGCGTTCTCATCAAATGCAGTTTGAAACAAGTTTATAGACATCCTTTAAAATTAATCATTTTAAATTAAAAAGTTAAAACAAAGTAATAATAATCTTCTGAGATTTAGAGACTGTCGCCTATAAGCCTAGATTAAATTTCCTTTGTATGAAATGAAATAAAAAATTCCATACATGTATTGGATTTTCCTCGCTTTTCATTGAAAAGGAAGATTACAAGTAAAACGCGTCTTTCTCTTCAGTATACCTGAATATCAAGCCCGATTCACTCTTTGTGAGGCTTTCATTATTCACATTTTATAAATACATACTAGACAGACTTTTATTTACTAAATAAAAATCTTTAGGAGATGTATTTTACTGATATAATTTTTTTGTTAATATTCATTTAATATTCATTTTTTCCCTACATAATATATTTGTATTTCATTTTTTCCTCCGATTAGATATTTTTAACGTAAATGATTCCATTTTTCTTTCATTTAGCGATTATATGAAACGCAAAATCTATTCGTCCTTTCATTTTTTAGACAAAGATTTTGTCATTTTATTTTTGTGAGACATCAATCTACAATAATGTATTGGATCTCAACTGAAATCATTAAAATATTTTCTCTTGAATAATGACTATAATACCAGTGCTTTTACACTTTCACTTATTTTTATTTGTAAGATAAACCTCAACCACCTTTGAACTTTACCGGATATTCCTACGCCTCTGGATACGTCAATCTTACCTGGATATCAAATTTTAATGGAGGTCCGGACCAAGTCTTCACCTTGTATCGTAAAGAAGGGTCAAACTGGAGAGTTATCAAAAATCTTACCGACCCGGGGGAAGGTGAAGTTGGATTCTTTGACCCAGGACTGTTGAACACAGGACAAGAATACTGGTTCCGGTTAGAGAGTTGTAACAGAATCAGCTGTTCCTCAAGGCCGGCTGAAGTCAAGGTCACTGTGCGAGGTAGTTAATTGTCTCCTAAGACAATATTTGTAAGCAATTCACTGTGTTGTTAAAATTCTTTCTTTTGGTAAAGATAACAGAAAGTAGTAGAAAGTATTTGAATGCAAAATATATATAGAACATATAAAAACAATTATCATGCGCCTGTAATGAAATGTTCAGAGATTTGCTCTGTCCGTTTCTTTGTTGTCCGCTAAAAAATATCTTATGAATTATCTTATCTAGAACTACCACAGGAGACATTTCTCGTGACATAACCTTTCTTACGATAGTTTCCTTAAAGCTCTTAACGTTGAAATTAAAGTTAAACTTTATTTTTTGACAGAAGTTTAACCTTTGTCATGAGCTGCCATACAGGGTCATCAGTGTATTTCAAAGACATCTTATTAATTTTGCTTAATATTCTTTCTTGTATAACAATATTGACAATAATAATGGAGTAATGAGAGACTAATCTGTTTATATTTCAGCTTTATCCAGCCCATCGTCCCAGTCAGATGATACGACAATCGTGATTGGTGCTTCTGTGGCTATTTTTGTCATCATTGTAGTCCTAGCTATAATAGTCGCAATGTTTTTACTAAAAAAGAAATCAGCCGAGCAAATAGAGAAAAATGAAAAACGAATGAGTAAACGTAAGCAATATTTAGCATTTATTTGTTCAGCAACATAACTTTAGGGTTTTAAAACTTTATTGTGTTTTCTAAACATGAAAAAAAAACTCGCAATTAAAAAACCTTTATGCTTCCAGGAAATAATCACATCTTTTGAGTTTTTAGTTGAGCAGTGTAATAGCTTTAAGTTAGATATTCTTTTCTAATCCTTATCAATAACTTTGCGGAACTTTATTTTTAGCCGCAGAACCAGACAATACTCAACCGGATGTTGTATACGCCGCTGTTGATAAGAGTCTCCTGATGAAGAACAAACAACAGGCTGACGTAGTGAAGAATAACGTCACCAAGGCTCAAAATGGTTCACTGTCTATTTCTTTGTGTCCCCGTCTTTTTTCTTATTTTTTTCATTTTCAAGGAGAACCTTTAGATTTTTTTCATCCACATTTTCTAGAGTCCTTAGACTTTTTAAATTGAAAAATAGAAACATTTCATCAAAAGAAGATGATCATTTGATAAAGAAAAGTGATGAAATATCATCTCAAAAGAAACGAAAAAAAATTAAGAAAGGAACTTTTTAAATGCGTTAATATCAAGTTTTACTCCAAAAAATGAATTTGAAGAATTTTTTTAATCCGTTGAAGACGTACACCTCAACGTTTTACTATTGAAAATTTTATGAAGTACCTTGAAGAGATTTGAAGAGGTTTATGTCATATACTTCATAAATTTTCATGCAATTAAATTCATTATAATATAGTTCCCTTTGAATATTAGCAGATTAGGCCTTTGGAAAATAAGCCTAAGATTGTTAAAATTGATGAAAGAGGAAAAATAATTCCATTAAAAACAAAAATTAATAATAACTAAGAATAGGGCGAAACTTAACCACACAGGAAATCCAGAGATGAAATAAATTGCCTATAAGAAGATCATATATTCTTTTGATCTTTTATACCTATGATAGGCTTTTTTTACTTTCATAAGAAACAGATCATGTTTAAACCAAGAAGCTTGAAAACAATGACCTCGGTCAAGAAACATCGGTCAAATGTTGTAAGTTGCAATCGAAAAACTTATAAAAAGAACATTGCGTTTCAATGTTTTCAATTTATTTGAAGCAAGTAAAATTTTGGAATGAATAACTTTCTGACAATGAGCCCATTTTACAGAAATTAAATTGTGACACCTTATTCTTTTACTTTGCGCATATCGCTTTAAAATCTAGATTGGAAACGAAAAAGACTTTGAAACAAAAGTTGGTTGCTTAAAAAAATAGACAATAATATTCCACGTCGGAGACAAGATATCAAAACCGTCATTGGTATTTGTAGATGAACGCGAAAACCTGTACTCTAACACAGAGGATGCCAAATTACTAACCAATTCAAACCTAAAGAAAGAAAACAGAAAGAAAAAGAAAAAGGAAGAGACGTCACGGCAGGAGGACGAGGAGGAAGAGGGGGCGACGTACGGAAACGTGGAAACCAGGACGGTGGTAAGAGTAGACACAGTTACAGATAGGTACGGTGGTAAGAGTTCGAGTAGTTAGAGGCAAAGACTGGGGTAAGAGGTCAAGTAGCTAGAGATAAGTACAGGGGTCAGAGGTCAAGTAGTTAGAGGCAAGGACAGGGGTCAGAGGTCAAAAGGACGGTGGTAAGAGTAGACACAGTTACAGATAGGTACAGGGATAAGAGTTTAAGTACATAGAAGCAGGGACTGGGGTCAGAGTTCAAGTAGTTAGAGACAAGAACAGGGGTCAGAGGTCAAGTATTTAGAGACAAGGTCAGGGGTTAGAGGTCAAGTAGTTAAAGGCAAAGACTGGGGTCAGAGTTCAAGTATTTAGAGGCAAGGGCAATTGTAAGAGTTCAAGTAGTTAGAGGCAAGGAGAGGGGTCAGAGGTCAAGCAGTTAGAAAGCTAAAGACGGTGGTAAAAATGCAAGTAGTTAGACACAATTGTAACAGATGTAAAATAAAAATACGTGAAGATAACAAACATTATTCGAGCTCCAAATTTCTTTAATGTTACAAAATAGGAGCAGAGCAAACACGGAACTCAAAAACATTAGAGGTGAGATCGGGTGCCACATAGGAATGAGCACTCTCCGTCGACCGGTCTCATACCTTGTACTCCTATCTGAATTATTGAAAAACACCTGTAAGAAAATCGAACATGTGATAGAAATATACATTATATAGTTTAACGTAAACCCCTTACCCACAGTAACACATTTTAAACGCATATTTCATTTCCTATTTCTAATGCAAAATCACGCATATACCTTTTCCCCGCAATCATGCATTTACACTCAAATTAAAAAGTTCATTTAATCTTCATTTCTAATGCAGTATGTTTGTAAAACACCCGTTGATTGGCTAATGTGCTTTGTTTGAAGCAGTAAAATGAGCATTAACGTGAATGGAAGCTTTTAATTGCGACGTCATACTAGATAGTCACAAAACCACAATGTTCCGTGACGTCGCAAGTAAAAGTCAGTTTGCGATCGTTAAATCAGCATTAACGGTCGCAAATTCCAAATAAGAAGATAGTTATTCCCTAATATATTGCCAAATTCCTTCTTTTGAATACTTACTTAAATGTCATGAAATAAGAAAAGCTATTTTCTTATTACAATATTTCGTCATAATATTATTTACGCTAAACTTTAAAGAAACTTGTACCATGCTTTGAAGTGCTTGCAGGGAAATGGTTATGTCATATTTCTATGACATGTACATAAAGTGTATGTTGCATAACAATTCAGTAATTTGTAAAGAGTTAAGAAATTTGAAAAGTGATAAAAAACCTGTCCAATTCTTTTGTAAGCGGATAAAGATTTTTCAGAGACTTCTGATATTAAGAACAAGGTAACAACTAATCATTGTCATTTTATAGAATTTTACTTTGTGAAAGATCGTTAAAATAAGTTTGCAGACAAATGAAGACACATGCTTTTGTTCGACAAATGTCCGAGAAATTTTATTGTGTTTTAATAGTAATGTAGTATGTGGCATCTACAAAAATGTATCAGAGTTTTAAAACAATGATAGAGAGCTTCGCTTCTAATTAAAAAAGACTGTTTTAATGATTTTTCGTACACAATAAAATTCAAAATAATTCAGCTATCTGCTATGAATTTTTACAGAATCAGGATGGACTAATATACATCGATGTTGATTTTGCAAATAAGCCCCCTAGTTCAGACACAAAGGGGAGACCAGTCATACATGGAGAAGAAGAAAGAACAGAGTACACGTTCGTGGATTTCTCCAAGAAAGCGCCACCTATGCAGGAAGAAGAAGATAAAGAAAATTGATAGAGATTCATTTTTGATACTCAATTTTTTACAAACATACGGTACAAAAGTATTTTTTTTTATCTAAATGAAATTATTCAATTTTTTAAAATGTCGGTATTTTTTTTAAATAAAGAAGACCTATATATGTTGTTATTAAAAATTTCTCCTGGAAGATTATTATCAAGTTCATAAATTTAAACATGTTTGTCATACCCATCAACAACGACTTGTTCACTTAGACCTAGATCATTAGTAAAGAAGAGACCTGTCATCCATTGTACATTTAATATTCCATACCGGTACTTTAAGTATCTACGTAAAAAAAAATGTTATGTCATAAGTAATTGAAAATCTAACACAAAGACTTCAGTCATTAATTCGATTCAACTATTCTATATGAGACTTACTAACAAGTAACTGTTTTACATAGAAGCACTGTCTGGATCATCAATCAATTTTATAATTCCTTATTCCTTTGATTCTTTTTTCATATCATTCTTAATCATATCATTTTGTCATAGATATGTCTATGTGTTTTATTTCAACTAATAATAATCAAAGTGTCTTTCCTTTGACGTCATTGATATTTTTTAAAGCTGTATTTACATCAATCATGTCTTCAAATTGCATAAATTTCTACCAATGTGTGTGTTTTATGAGAGAGAGAGAGAGGGAGAGAAAGAGAGAGAGAGAGAGTTGTGAGTCATTGATTATTTTGTTGCAAAAGCAGCATGAACATTTATCTTTTCGAGAGAAAGAGAAAGAAACCTACCTTTAAGTTTGAATGTTTTAAGCTATTTCTTTCACAGAGTAAGGCATATTTGTGTTATCATTTTTATAATTTTAAAGAGGAATTCTATGAGGATTTTTTTGTATTGTACATGTTCCTTGTTGAAAGAGAATAATGTTCATATCACAAACAAATATACTGTTTATCATAAAGTTTTGAAATGTGTTTCTATTAATGAGGGAAAGAATCAAAAGTAAATCTCTATAAGTGTTTGTAAACCCTCAAGAACAAAACAAAAGTCACAATGTATTCTACGAGGGCCGTTCAAAAATTACGCGGACTGTGCTATTATTTACTCTTACAGACGTCATAGAGTTATGAAATTTCACAGAAATATGTATCTCAAAGATTTCAATAAATTTTGGGCAAAATTCCTGTATTTTAAAAACATTCTACTAAAATTATCGGTATATTGATATCGCTGATGGAGAGGTACGGAGCACGACAAAAAATCTGAAGCAAAAGCATTTGGAATTCAAAATTTAACTTATTTATTTTCTATAATTCGCAATATTTTTCGACAATTTTCTCAAATGTATCTTTAATTTGTTCTGTTATTGTGTATTTGGATTTCTGGCGTGATATTTGAAGTACTAACAGAAATAAAGTGATTTTCCTTTTATGCGATTCCCGTGAAAAGGACTGTGAAAATGACGTCTCGTGAAATGACGGCGCACCACACTTTAGTTAGATTATGTGTAATGCTCGAGATATCTCCAACATAGATACAAAATATGAATAATAAAACATGTAGTAAACTAGGGTATTCGTGACATTCGTCCACAAATAGCAAATAGGAATTTTAGACCATTAGACCTCTGAAAAATGGCTATACGGGAGGACGGGAAGAAGATTATCGACGAAAACTTGATCCGGACTGTAAAGAACGTGATTGAGAGTCACCAATATCACACTATATTTCATAAATACCTGCAGTTTTTTGGTTTTTTGGTTTTAAAACAAAAAAAAATAGTCTTTACTTGTTTAATAGATTTAAAGCTTGCCAAAAAATGGTGTTTGGATGTTGAGTAGATAAGATAACTCAAACTGTACAGGTACCCCTGGGAAAATGTTGAGAAAATGAAAGCTCAATCGCATATTTTTTTATGATGTCTGTGACGTCGAAGATATTGCTGCTCCGTGACTTAATGATATGTCCTGAAGAATCACTAAAAATTGATACCAATTTACAACATTTTGATATGAAATTTTGTAGACCATATAAGTAAATATTTTTTTATAGTATGTGCGACATTTTGCCCGATTATGTCGTCAAATATTTTTTTCTGTGCAGCAAGTCCGCGTAATTTTTGAACGGCCCTCGTAATTTAAGAAAAAAATAAGTAGACTGAAAACAATACTTGTTTGTGAGACACAATGCACTCGTTGGCGACAAAGTTTAAAAAAGTTATTTATAGCACATAGGTCACAGTAAAGACCACTATTTCATTGATTATGGTGTCATATGAACGAACTTAATTAGTGGAGTATGCATATAAAATATAAATTTTATATCTCTCATGATTGAAAAGATTTACCGAAGGTTCAAATTGGCATTTTTAGCATATAAGTCTATGTCATTGACCATGGTGTCATTTGAAAGAACTTAATTAGTGGAGTAAAATATACAGTACCTAACTTTAAAGGTTCAAAGGTTATGTCAAATGTTCTCGAAAATTATTGAAGCAAAAACATAGAGATTGTTTAGCATCACCAAAGGAAATTTTTTGTCAGATATGAATTTTTCAAAAGTTCCAATATATCAATCAGAAGCTTTAATATAATTTTTTTGTCAATAGTAAATGTTTATGATGGCAAAATAACGATTTTATTTTCAATCTATGCAATAATTCTTCATAAAATATTTTTTAAAATCCTACAGTAAACAATATTATCACAGTTAATTCAATTTATGCTATTATGAGAAATTTGTTAAATTTTACACCGTCGGATAATCTCCATAACCAAGCGACGTATATGCGCCTTTATTGCAGACGCAATTAGTATGTAACCTTTCATTGCGTAAATGCAAAGTGTGGTTTTCTTGGAGGAGTTATCGTACTTTTTACGGATTTTAACTCAATCAAAATCTTTGTTTTTGTTGTGCCATTTTGTTAGCCTGATAGTGCGGTGGAAAAAAATTCTTCTTCAATAAACTTGGAGCACTGGAATATTCACACCTCGGTAGTCAGGAAAATTACTTTGTTAATAATCCATCCAATGGTAAACACAGATACATTGTACTACGAAGTGTATATATAATAAAAGGATGTTCTAGTTTCTCATTGACAACATTTATTTTCCTCCATGAGGTTTCCTTTCAAATTATTGTAGTTTCGATGGGTACTATTTTTTTCTTCTCTATTAGCTGATATGTTTTCACTAAAAAGCAGAAAATATTAAATCACTTCTACATAGCAAAAGAAAACACTCGTAATAACCTTCACTTTTACATTTAGATATATCGACGACAGTATAATCAATTGAAAAAAGTATTTCCAACTCAGATGTCGACTTTATATACCCCCAGTGAAAAGGGTTTTGAGCTTGAAAACTGTTCTTTATCATTAACAAAGTAAAATCAACTTAAATTGAAATGATTCAATATAAAGGGGATATTTTATACTAAGAAAGGAAGATAAAAATTATAAAATGGAAAATTGTTAAAACACAAATTTAATTTATCTAAATATCTTAAATATATGTTTTCCGTTCTTAAAAAGTTGCGGAAGGGAGCCACTTGAAGAAATCTTAATGTAGAAATTTCTTAAACGGAAACTAACAAATTGAAGCCAAATATATTTATCTATAAGAGCAGCAACAGACACGGAAGAAGAGACGGTATGAAATACTTAAGATAAAAAGATGTGAACATGATAGAATGGAACAAGTACATACTGGTACGCTCCTAATAGATTAAACAGAAACAAAAATGATGTCATAAATCATATGATCTGACAGTTTCAAAAAGAATCTTTTACAGCTTAAAAACATTGAATTGTGTTGTTTGTCCATTTCCATTCTTTGTTTTCTTTCCTCCTCCAATTCAAAACGTTCTCTCCCTAAATAAAAGTCCTCCCTCCTTAGGTCCATTTCATCGCCCTTTTCTTGGCTGTCACTTTCAGATCTTTATTGTATAGGACCGGAGATAAGAGAGAATAGCGATGCTACTTCCATCTTAATAAAACTGAATATAACCCAAAAAGCTGATACATGTTGGTCATATACATTAGAATTTATTGAATTAGATTTATTGTATATCATATGTATAAATATAACATAAGTCCTCAAACTTGTCAGCGGTCACCTCTATCCAGCGGTCACTTGTCCCGTGCGGTCATTTTATTTCCTCCCAATGAAATTTCATATATAAAGTAGCTCTGTTTAGCGGTCATCTGCGTAATATGGTCAGCAGTCACCTAATTTCAAACGACATCACCACTTTTCCCTGTCTTTAGCGGCCATTTTGTCCAATCACGTGACCTGATCTGGAGTCAGCTGATTCCCAATTTTTGTTACTTATGCAAATAATCAGTGAAGTGTTTGCGGGATTGTGAATAAAATTAATAAATGGTGAAATTATTTTACTGGATAAGCATATTCAAGAATCATTTTACAAACTAACACAGGTACTTGTGGACAGGACCCCCCCCCCCCACCTGATATTCAACCCCGGGGCTTATTTGACATTTTTTTCACAATTTATATTTAGTACACTTATTCAACATGTTCATGATGTTTGCAATAGAAACAAATCGTGAAAACCCCAAAAAAGTCGCTCCACAAAAAATACCCCACTATACATTATAAGAGAGAAGGTAAGCAACTTCGGTTTGTTTACGTTTAGGTAAACGCAACGGAAGTGACTATTATCTATGATAACACCCAAGGGTGATTATTACGTCAGGCAAAACTCTCTCGGACGTTATCGTAATAAGTGAAACATTCTCTATGCACTTCCGTTGCTTTTACCTAAGGGAATTTCAACATTCTAACTGGAATGCTGTTTGTGGATTCTTACGAGATGCAGAGTCAATTCGATAGCATTGACTAAAACAGAAATATATGTAGAGACAGTGTGGACCGACATTTTAGGTGAAAATGAAATAAATACATGTTTTTAAACCCAGAAAGACCAGTGGGGGTACAACATAAACAAACCGAAGTTGCTTACCTTCTCTCTTATAATGTGTAGTGGGTTTTTTTTATGAAGCGATTATTTCGACGATTTGTTCCTATAGCAAACATGTTGAATAGGTGTGCCAAATATAAATTGTGAAAAAAATGTCAAATAAGCACCGGCTGGAGCTGAATATCCGGGGTGGGGGGTCTAGTCCACAAGTACCTGTGCAAACTAACTGCTTCTATATTTTACAAAACTCGAACAACTATGCTTATGACGAAAAAAGGTAATAGGAAAAAAAACGAATACTAGTATTATCGATAACTGATTATCAGGGTCTAATAACTGCTGGATTTTTAATTAAGTTTGAAAAAAACAACGTATGAACTATATTAATCTTTTAATGACTATGATATTTTTGTTTACTATTTACAGTGTCGATATCGCGCCCAACTCTGCATGATCTGAAAGTTGTAAACTAATTACGCTTGATTGGCATTTTGATTTTCACACCTAGGAATCATTTGTTGAAGCCATAATTACAGTTTATATACACATTATGGTTTGGAAAGGCCTATGTTGTGAATTTCACAAAGGAAACGACAGTTAGGAATGAGTAACACTGTATTGCTCAGGTCACCTGTGCACCTGTTGATCAACTGAGAGTTCTCTGAGCTTATTTAATTTATTATACAACAAATCATGATCAGTGGTTTACATGTATTTAAAAAATACATGTACGGAGGTTAATTTTCTGAATCAAGTTTAGATAAAATAATTTTTATTTGATTTTATTCATTCCTCACACAAGAAAAAGAAATGTTTTGATGGGGGATAATGCAGCACCCTGTAAGTTTTTTTTTATATTAATTTTCTTGGATTCATTAAATTTAGTAATGCATCTCCTAAATAAAAAAAAAAATAGTTTAAGTGAGATCACTAATGTCCAATACCTAACTTTCTTGTATATTTTGGGGTGAAATACATAAATTAATAGAAACACAGAACTGACATATTAAATTTTTTGAATAA